ATTGTATAGGAACATTTTTTATTTGATGTAGCATAGCTGTTAAATGGGGTTATATTAATTAGATAACACATCGATCTCAGCAAATTTCAGGAACTAGTCTATTCCCTATGTCACAATAATCAAATCTGATTTTAGGACCTCTTGAAAGTATTAATAAGATTTATACTCGAATTATGTATTTGTTTATTTATGTAGTTGTAGTGAATATATAGTCTGCTCTAAAGAATGCATGAAAGAGATTGCTATCGGTCAATAATTATCATTTAATATGCTTTAAAACAACATGATCCCTGATTCTGTCTTTCGGATTCTTCGCACTGCCCTAAGATAACGGCTTTTAGGCTGAATTGTCACTGGAAAAGATAAGTAGCGTAAGCATAGTTGTAAAAAGACACTTCGAACTACATAAAACTGGAAGAAAATATGGCATGAAGCAAGAGATTAAAAATATTAAAAGTAATAAAAATAATACGAATATAAGGGAAATAAGATTTCTGTTGGAAGAAAAAGTAAAATGATATTATAAGGTATTGAAAAATAATAATTCATGCCGAAATTTATATTAAATACAAGTATTCAAGGAATAAAAACCCTACATGTGTACTGCTGTAAGAATGGCGAGATGGCTCCATGTATCCAGGAGTCGCACTCGATAATGCTCCCAACCTGGCCGCCGGAATCGATGTCGAATAACCAGAGTAACACTGCTCGTGTCCAAAGCCCGACAGACCCAGCATGGCAACCTGGCTATCCGCCCCACTATTAGGCGCCTCAGGTTGTCTAATTGACTCAGCTGCCAGCTCGAGATGGCCGGCCATCTCTCGGATGGCGTCACTTGTATTGGAAGCCCAGCCCGAGGGGACAGAGTTTCGCAGCGGCCAAGAACGTAGCCACTCAAGTAGGAGGATGAGGATGGATGCAAGAATTGTGAGAAGCCATGGAATGGTCAGACTTCGACAAGACGGAAGAATAATGCAAACGACAACAAGATAGACTAGCTCAAGGATCAGAAGGAGGGAGATGACAACTGAGCCTGAAAAAAGAGATAATGATCAAAAAAAGATAAAGAAAGTACAAAAATAAGATTACATGAATGTAAGTAGAAAACAAATAGAAAGCTAAACAAAGATGAAAAATCAAAATAATAACATAGAATAAGAAGAATTATTAACATTTGAGTAGCAATGAGTAGCAATGAGAAGGTAACGAACAATCATACTAGTAGATGTTTAGAGTGAATTATCTTCGCACACTACTCCAAAACAATCTTCCCTTGATTTCGATTGTGGATAACTTAGTAATCCCTTCTAATTTTTCACC